ACCACTGCTGATACTGCACCCTCTGCAAGGACCTGGGGCCCAGTCAGCTGGGTCGGGTTCCAAGATAAATGTTAGGTTTCAGAGTAACAGCTGTGTTAGTCTGTATTCGCAAAAAGAACAGGAGGACTTGTGGCACCTTAGAGACTAACCAATTTATTTGAGCATAAGCTTTCTTGAGCTACTGTTCACTTCATCGGATGCATACTGTGGACTGTTACTATTTCCCAGCAGTCCAAGCAAACTGGAGCTGCAACCAGAGCCACTGCTCATCCCTCAGTGCCTCCTTGGCTGGGATCGACGGTGAGCAGGGCGCAGTGAGAGAAACACACAGATGCTTCTGTCATCACAACAGCCTGGGCCTGGCAACGACTGGCAGGGCTGGAATCAGGCTGGGCTGAGTCCATGTGGCTGGGAGGTCAGAGTGAGTGAGACTCACCTGCCTGCCCTTAGAGTCCTAGATGGGTGAATCCCCCTCGGTAGGGCCAGGCCAGTTGAGTCTGCTCTTATCCTTGTATGACCATGAGAAGTGGGGAAGGGGGTATCCCACTAAGGGTGAGGCCTCCTTTCATGCTAAGCCTTCCCTTTGAGGCTCCCTGCCCTGCTGCGGTGGGAGAGAGCACAGACTCCACAGGGACCAGTGCGACAGGGACCAGTGAGCAGGGTTGGATACCTGCTCTCCCTCTGCTTTCCTTATTTCCCCAAGGTTTTCATGCTGTGCTACGAGGGTTTCCCTGATCACTGGATCGGCCTCCGAAGGACCTAGGCCAGCCCTGGAAATGGGCCACTGGCACTGAATTCAAGCCCAGGTGAGTTCCTCCTTCCCGGTTCCCGATGCCAGAGCAAAGGGGAACGAGAGGGATTGAATCCAGAGCTTCTGTGCTGCTGCCATGCAGGAGCGAGCGGTGGGATCCCTTGTCTGAGACTGGGGAGAAGGTGGAGGTGTGAAAGGGCCTTCGCAAGCCCAGGGAAAGCAAGAGTCCTGGGATAAAAGTTCCCGTTCAGTCCATGGTTTTTAGTGTGCAGCAGAGTTATGAATGTAAGCGCCAGGCTCGGCTTTGGAAGGTGTCAGGCAGGTTTCCTTTGAGGACGGGGTGGAAAGATCAGACCTGGAGTGAGCGCTGTGTGACAAGCGCTTGCCCACGGGTGACGGTGTTTTTTGTCGGTATCGTTTGGTCCAGTAAAAGCTGTTACCTCTCAGGCAACATTGGCTGGAAGCATATGGGAAGGGACCAGTATGCAGGGAAGGGGCAGAGGTGGATTAAGGTCTCCTGGGCCAGAGCAAGTGGGGGGCCCCTCCCTGCCCCTTCTGCCTGTGGTCCTACCTCTGTTCTCCCCCTTTGGCTTGTGGCCCCATCCCATTCCATCCCTTCCTCATGGCCCTGGCCCTGTTGCACCCACGGTTCCTCCCCAACAAATCAAGACGTTGCATCGGAGTGGTTTTTCCAAGTTTGCTCCAGTTGGGGATTCACATGATGATTACTTAAATTTATGCTGGATTTTTGGATTGAGGGGGATCATAGTGAAACTAGGAGCATCAGCTGGAGCCAGCCACAGCCCAAACTTCTTGTACACAGCTCTGCTAAAGCAACTTTGTCCTGACCTGTAAGGCTCCTGCCATCCCAGTATTGAGCCTCAGAGCTCTGCCAATACAATTTGATACTGCTGCACTCACTTCTCCTCCAGTCCTGGCGTACCCCAGCCCATCAGCCGACCTGCAGACACCACACGGTTCGGTAAAACCCAGACCACCTCCAGTTTTGCCCACAAGAACCAAGATAATTACCCCGAGATGGATGAAGGAAGTTCAATACCAGCGTGCACTGGAATGAACACAGCTGGCCAGATCCTCAGCTGGTGTAAATCAATATAGCTCCACTGGAGTGCCGCCGAGTTACATCAGCCAGAGATTTGGCCCTTTGCTTCTAAGGCATAAGTAGGGAGGGACAATTCTTTTCTGGGGTTTGGATTTGCAGGAAAGGTATCAGCTGAGAGAGACAAACCCAGTTTCCTCCTCTTTGTTCCTTGCCTAGGACATTAGCGTTTTACACTTCTTTTGCCCTCCTTGCTCAGCCACTTTCTCTCAGCTGTTTGTTTTAACGGTACTTAACATTTGTATGAGGTGTCCAGCTCCAGTCCAACCTCCCGCGTTTGAAGGGCGGGCACGCACATCACTAGGAACGGGCTCTGGCAGAGGGGATTCACTGGCATTAGACACAGCCTGCCGGAGAGCAGGGTCAGGGCACGCGGGTGACCGTTTTTCCAGGCCCCCCAAATGGGCCAGAGCCCCGGGCCCCGTTGGCCCCATGGCTAATCCGCCACGGGGAGGGGTCTCGGCTGGAGCTTTCGCTCGCTGACTTTCCATCAGTCAAGCGCAATTGCCCGAGGTCTGCTCGGTGCTGCAGCCCCGCACCGGACAGACGGACGGGCGCCCTCCCTCGGGCGGGTGTGGGGGCTGCTCCCGGGCGGGCTCCCCCAGCACGGGCTTTGAGACCGGCCGGCGGCGGCTCCTTCTACCGCTGCAGCCCGGAGCCCCGCGGCCGGGGAGACTCACCGGCCGGCTGCGGAGTCCCGGGCTCCTCCGGGCTCCTCCGGCCTCCCGCGCCCCGGGCCCCGGCCCCAGGGCCCCGCGGAGGCTGCGGCGCTGCGCCTCCCGAAGCACCAGCTGAGAACGGCCCCGGGCTGCGCTGGCCACGCGGGCTGCTCGTGACAGAGGGGCGGAGCCGCGTTACCGGGAGCGCGGCGCTGAGTGGTGGAGCGGTGCCAGGGGGCGGGGCGCAGCGTTGGGCGATGCTGAGTGGCGGAGCGGGTCCAGGGGGCGGGGCGCAGCGTTGGGCGGCGCTGAGTGGCGGAGCGGTGCCAGGGGGCGGGGCAGAGCGTTGGGCGGCGCTGAGTGGCGGAGCGGTGCCAGGGGGGGGGAGCGTTGGGCGGGCTGAGTGGGGGTAGGGGCGGGGCAGAGCGTTGGCTGAGTGGGGGGTGAGAGGGGGGGGGCGGGTTGGGGCAGTGGGGAGGGTGAGAGGGGGCGGGGCAGAGCGTTGCGCGGCGCTGAGTGGCGGGTGAGAGGGGCAGAGCGTTGCAGTGAGGTGAGAGGGGGGCAGAGCGTTGGGCGGTGCTGAGTGGCGGAGCGGTGACAGGGGGCGGGGCAGAGCGTTGCGCGGCGCTGAGTGGCGGAGCGGTCCAGGGGGCGGGGCAGAGCGTTGCGCGGTGCTGAGTGGCGGAGCGGTGACAGGGGGCGGGGCAGAGCGTTGGGCGGTGCTGAGTGGCGGTGCGCTGCAGGGGGGCGGGTGGCGAGCTGCAGGGGGCGGGGCAGAGCGTTGGGCGGCGCTGAGTGGCGGAGCGGTGCCAGGGGGCGGGGCAGAGCGTTGGGCGGCGCTGAGTGGCGGAGCGGTGCCAGGGGGCGGGGCAGAGCGTTGGGCGGCGCTGAGTGGCGGAGCGGTGCAGGGGGCGGGGCAGAGCGTTGGGCGGCGCTGAGTGGCGGAGCGGTGACAGGGGGCGGGGCAGAGCGTTGGGCGGCGCTGAGTGGCTGTAGCTGCAGGGGGCGGGGCAGAGCGTTGGGCGGCGCTGAGTGGCGGAGCGGGGGGGAAGTTGTGAGGGGAGGGGGGGGGGTGAGTGGGAGGGTGAGGGGGCGGGGCAGAGCGTTGGGCGGTGCTGAGTGGCGAGGGTGAAGGGGGGGGGCAGAGGTTGGGGGCGCTGAGTGGCGGAGGGTGAGGGGGGCGGGCAGAGCGTTGGGCGGCGCTGAGTGGCGGAGCGGTGACAGGGGCGGGGCAGAGCGTTGGGCGGCGCTGAGTGGCTGTAGCTGCAGGGGGCGGGGCAGAGCGTTGGGCGGCGCTGAGTGGCGGAGCGGTGCCAGGGGGCGGGGCGCAGCGTTGGGCGGCGCTGAGTGGCGGAGCGGTGACAGGGGGCGGGGCAGAGCGTTGGGCGGCGCTGAGTGGCTGTAGCTGCAGGGGCGGGGCAGAGCGTTGGGCGGCGCTGAGTGGCGCTGCCAGGGCGGGGCGCAGCGTTGGGCGGCGCTGAGTGGCGGAGCGGTGCCAGGGGGCGGGGCAGAGCGTTGGGCGGCGCTGAGTGGCGGAGCGGTGACAGGGGGCGGGGCAGAGCGTTGGGCGGCGCTGAGTGGCGGAGCGGTGACAGGGGGCGGGGCAGAGCGTTGGGCGGCGCTGAGTGGCGGAGCGGTGCCAGGGGGCGGGGCAGAGCGTTGGGCGGCGCTGAGTGGCGGAGCGGTGCCAGGGGGCGGGGCGCAGCGTTGGGCGGCGCTGAGTGGCTGTGGCTGCAGGGGGCGGAGCGAGCCCGGCACAGCCCGGAGTCGCTGGGCGGATCAGAGCCCGGAGAACAAGCGGAGCGAGGCTCGTGGCTCCCCGCGATCCAGGCCCGGCCCCGCACGTGCCGCCCGCCCGGAGCCCGCGGGACTTTCGGGTGAGAGGCGCGGCCGGGGCGCGGCCGCCCGGAGAAGAACGAAGGGACGAGGGGGGGGCGGAGCCAACCTGTCGGTTTCGATCGTGACCCGCGAGGCCGCCTAGTGGCAAACCAGAGAGATGCTGCACATGCGCACTTAGGGCCCCGGGGCGGGAGCGCTCTATGCAAATGAGCCGCCTGCCCCGCCCCCTCTGTGCCCTGTTGGGAAACCCCCCGGGGCGGGGCACCGCGGTTCCCTCCGGCGCTGGCCGGGCCGGTGACCCCCCCTCACGGGTCTCTGCTCGCGCCTCTTCCTGGAAGGTTCCGCCCCCCCGTGGGTGCCTGTCACGGGTGGGCGGGGCCCGTGGCTGATCAGGCCTCTGAAGCCCTGGGGGGTGGAGGGGCCGGTGGGGGTTAAGGGGGTTCAATCATCATGGCACCGCCTCTGGCAGGGGGTTGGGCTGCTGGGCAGGGAACGAGAAACCACAAATCGCCCCACCCCCCCCGCCCCTGAGCTGTCCTGCTGGGTCCGTCTCGGCTTCCAGACCGGCTGGAGAGTCCGGAGCAGGGGGGCGACCAGGGCCAGGACCCCCGCCCCGGCTCGGCTCGGCGGCTGCAGAATCGGACCCAGTCAGACCGAGAGGAGCCGACCCCAGCCCAGCGCCTCCAGCAGCGTGTGCAGCCCGAGTGTCGCTGAGAGAGACGATGGGGCCAGCAGCCGGGAATATGGAAAGCAAAGAGCCGCTGCAGGAGTGGCCTGTTGAGGGCAAGGGACACCTGGAGACTGGAGGGGAGCCAGGTAATGGGGCGTCGCTGCCTTGGAACAGGCTGGAGAGAGACACTGAGGCTGCCCCACATGGGGCGATGATCTCAGTGGCAGCAGCCAGTGTCCAGCAACCCCCCGTCTGTGGGCAGCAGGGACTGGATCACCGCCAGGGGCTCTCAGGGCACCGATCCCTGGCTCACAGCTGCTGTCTGGCAGACACAGCGGTGGCCGTGGGGCTGTGCAGGGCCCTCCTGGACTGGGTGTGATAGACCCCCTGTGACAGCCCTGGCCCATCTCTGCCTGGTTCGTTCTCCCCCCTTCTGCTGTGTATGGCCAGTGTGAAACCCCAGTGTGCGGGGACAGGGGCACTCGGCAGCGTGGGCCCAGCCAGCGCTCGGCAGGGGGCAGAGCGGGGGTGGGGGGAGTTTAAGCTCCTGCCACCAGAACATGGGGGTCCTTGTCTCTGTGCCCCTGAGCTCACCAGGCCCCATGACAGCATGACTGGGGGTGCCCAGGGAGGGCACTGGGCTGAGGGGAAAGAGGGATGCAGGATGGGGATGGAAGAGGGGTGATATATATTTTGGTATCCCTTCCTATCATCTGTCTTCTCAGATTGTAAACTCTCTGGGCAAGGAACCGTATCTTCCCATGTGTTTGTAAAGCACTTATCACAGCAGATCTTGAACCTGGCTGTTGACTCTGCACATGAGTATAATTTAAGTAATAAAATAGCTTTACGTATCCCGCTACAGAGCGGGGAGCGTACTGCTAAATCCTTCCTCCTGCCAGGGCACCAACTTTGTAGCTATGCTGGGAAAACACAAAAACTCCCACAGGTTCAAATGTTGGTTTTTAGTTGAAATGGTGATGGAAGGGCCAGTGGGGATCTGTAGGGTGGAGAAATCTCAGCTGGAGCGACTGTCCCCATTGTAATGTACCCTTTCTGCAAGCAGATCAGATGGAGCCAGTAGCAAAGCTAGATAGAACCTGTGCAGGAGGTCCAGCTCGATGATCTTGGTGATCCCTTCTGATCTTGTAAATTTCCTCAGTATAGACCAGGCTTGATTGTAACTAATGCTGACACCTCCCCCCCCCCTTGCCCCCCCCCCGCAAGCAGTACCCTAGGACCATTAATGGCTTTTCTTTTTCAGGCGATCGAGCTAACTCCGCATTCTGCAAATGCCTAGCAAATAAAGTCCTAGTCTGGGTCTTGATCATAAGTGCTCTGGTAGGAGCTCTCTCGGGTGAGTCCCAGCCCTCCCTGGCCAGGTTTCTGTGTCCTGTTTCCTCCCTTTAGCCATCATAGTGTCTCATTTTCTCCACCTCCGCTTTAAACAGAAAACTTTCAACTCCCTGTTGTGAAACCCCGGCTCTCTCTGGAGCTATATTGGGCTTAATGGACTGAATTCAGACCCCACGCCCAGCTGTGCGGCAGCTCTGCCACCCATCTAAAGGATATTATGAGACTGCTGGCCTTGCCTTTCTACCAGCTTCACCCTTTCCCTGGGAGAGGGAGATGATGCCGTGAGCTCCTCAGTCAGTCCCAAGCTGAGCTTGCTGTCAGGAGAAGCAGTGCCAACTTTATTATTTGGTGCAAAAGCCTTTTTAGGAAAGGGCTGTGGCTGAGAACCTAAACTAAGAGTCAAGTTTCAAAGCATACTCTCCTGCTGCCCATCACTGCAGTATCTGGGCGCCTCTCATGTAAAATCATCAGCAACAGTGAAGTCCCTCATGGACTTCCTGGAGTTTCTGTCACTCTTCCCCTTTTGGGATCAGAACTCAGCTTGGGAGGGGAAATTTTTGTGGGGGTTTATGGGCAGAAGTGGGCTGTCTCCTTTCTGGAAGAGAACCAGCCCGCCCCGCCCCAGGATAGCCATTACAGTTGATTATTCTGAACTCCCATCTTTAATTGGGTTTTGGCATCCTCCTGCTTTCAGTCTGAGGGCCTAGCTCTCTGTTCAGGGCACTGGGTCAGTTATAGCCTCACTGAATTCACCACTGGGGCTCAAGTTCTGAGCATCTGGCAGAGGGTTCAGGAACCTCTGAATCCTAGATATGAGGGGCTTGTTCCCCCGGATGCAGGAAGGGACAAGCTCTTAGTACGTTACTTTCTCATTTTCAGGAATAGCAAGCCGATATTCGGTCCATCCTGGATCTGCTGTGGTCTTCTCTCCAGATCCCCCTCCTGGCCCCTGTTGTCCGGATGGCTGGGTTGGATACCAAGGGAAATGCTACTATTTCTCCAAGGCCCAAGAGAACTGGACCTACAGCCAGAACATCTGCTCTGCGCTCGGTGCTTCCCTGGCTGTGATTGACAGCGAGCAGGAAATGGTGAGAGAGAGGCACCAGCATGGATGCTTGATAATGACCTAGACTGGGCTTGGCGGGACAGACATGGCTGCACTGGGGTAGGGCCCGACCTCTCTAGTTCCAGAAGGAGCTCTGGTTCCTTTCCTGCTGGGAGGCCAAAGGGAATGAAAGTCCAGCAGCTGAAATCCAGCTGTGGTCAGTATGTGATTGTGCTTTCTTCATAGCTCCAGGCAGGAGAAGTACTTCCTTTGGGTTGGGCTGGGTCAGCCAAAGCCTGGCCAGTGGGGCTGGCTGCAGGTCAGGAGGGGATTGTGAACCTGGCATTGCTATGCTGCCATGCTCGGGGTGGGAGGAATGTCCAGCTGAGCAGGATATCTGCTTTATGCCCACGTATACCTCCTCTGGGCTCTGCAAAGGGTCCCGGCTCTGTTCCCGGCCCAGCTCTGTCCTCCTAGCCCCACTCCAGTGATGGGGAGAGAGGATACAAGATACGAGTGGCCTTGCAGAGCGGGACTAGAGCTTATATCCATGTTGAGCCATGCAGCTTTCCCTCCCCTACAGGAAATTGTTGTGGGATGGAAGTGATCGAGAGACAAGAGCCAGGGGTATAGTGTGAATGGAAAGGGTGAATGCTCATCCTTTGAATGCCTCAGCCTCCTCGAATGTGAGTGGGCATTCCCCTTTGAAAAAATCATACCGCAAGGCCTTATGTTCCCTGTAGTGTAGAGCCCTCTGGGGTGGGTGAGGTTCAGTACCATGATCTCAGGGTCTCATTCATGCTGTCCCTTTGCTCTTGTATTTCTAATAAAGCGGTTCCTGCTGCGCTGTAAAGGCAAACTTGTCCATTGGCTCGGCCTCTGGAGGGAGCAGGACCAGGACCAGCCCTGGAAATGGGCCAATGGCACCGAATTCAACAACCAGTGAGTCCCTCTCTATACTAATGTTGCCCCGGAATTTGACATTCCTGCATGTATCCTTCTGCATGCATCCCAGAACTTGGCAGGGCTGCAGTCAGACATTTTGTATGTGCAGCCGCCGCCAGCTGATAACCAAACATCACATAGCGAGGAATCACCTTAGGCCTTTGTGAGACAAGGTCCGACAGCTGCATATTTGCAGTTTGTTAATTAAAATGGAAGAATAGAATAAAAACTTATGGAAAAGAGTAAGTATATCGCGACCATGGTTTTAGGGGCCCCTAATATATTGTTGTCAAGGCTAAAAATACTAAAAATGTTTTGCAATAATAAGTAGTTTGTTGAAATTGGGGAAAATTGGTGACCCAGCTCAGTGGAGGTTATTGTGCTGATGCATTAAAAGACTCTTCCTTGGACTGCTCTGAGGTATTTATTTTCCGGGAAAGGATCTGACCTCTTAATCCCTGTCAGCGGGATGGAAAGAGGGTCCTTGGAAGGCCGGCTGGTGATTACTTGAAACCATCTCAGATTGTGGGTAACTATATCTGGGGTGTCCTAAATTGTCTGTGTGTGTGTGTGTGCTTAATAGGTAATAAATAGTGGTTAAGAGCGCGCTTACTGGTATTAATCTTTCATCAGACCAAATTGCTGTGTTCCCATTGGCTTATTCCTGACACCACCTGGCGGGAAACCGTTCAGTTACCATTGCTTTGGGTTCTGAAACCGCCCGAGTAATACTAACACCCTGAAGACGGTCTTAGGGATAACGAGCATCCTAACCATCCCTCCATGGAACCAGTTGTGAAACTGGAGGCTCTATGAGCGGTCCCTGAGCTCTGTCGGGGGTCTGTCTCCAGACTCATCCGACTCTTGGGATAGTATGTGAAGGGGTTGGGTGGAGCATGGGACTCTTACTCCTGGGGTTGTGGCTTTGAAATCTGTTGGGCATGGTGGAGGCTGTCATAAAAGGAGCCGAACTTAGCTCAGGAACAAATCCATCTGCCCTGGCATACCTCAGGGGTTGAAACAGATTCTCAGTGCTCGAAGACAGTGGTTCTCAACCAGGGGTACACGTTCCCCTGGGGTACATCAGCTCATCTAGATATTTGCCTAGTTGTACATCAGGCTACAGAAAAAGCACTAGCGAAGTCAGTACAAACTAAAATTTCCTACAGACAGCGACTTGTTTATACTGCTCTATAGACTATGCACTGAAAGGTAAGTACAATATTTATATGCCAATCAATATTATTTTACATGGTAAAAATTAGAAAGTAGCAATTTTTCAGTGATAATGGCTATGACACTTCTCTTTGTTTGTATTTTTATGTCTGATTTTGTAAGCCAAGTAGCTTTGAAGTGAGGTGAAGCTTGGGGTATGCCAGACAAATCAGACTTCTGAAAGGGGTATAGAAGTCTGGAAAGGTTGAGACTCGCAGGTCTAAGAAGCATCCCTGCTGGGGAAGTCCGTGTGTGTGCGCGTGGGCTCCATGTTCAATGCCATGTGGGAATGGTCCCTGGAATCCTTCCTTTTGGGGCACTCTGGCTGGAAATCTGGCTGCAAGAGCTGATCACCGGTCCCAACTGGGGGCAGAAATGACCAGGAATTGGGATTTAAAAAAATCTACCTGGAATAAAAGCTGGGGCTGCCCCTCTACCCCTTTCTCTGCCCTGCTAACCCCAAACTGGCTCTGTTTAATTCCATCTTCCCCATTTGCTCCCTTTCCTCCAGGGAGGAATTTCAGTGGCCCTCTTTGCTCCCTGTACAATGGGGGCTTGATGGCTAATTGAGGTGTTGCATTAACGTGGAGCACCTCCCTCCCTCTGGGAGGGGCAGACAATGCCCAGACCCTGCTTGACTCTAGCTTCTGGCTTTTGTGTTACAGGTTTGAAATTAAAGGAGGAGGACATTGTGCATATCTAAGTGATGGATTTGTTGGCTCTTCAAGGTGCTCCTCACTCACAAACTGGATTTGCAGCAAACATGACGCATATACAGTGGGAAAGGGAACTGCACAGCCTAGGATATGAAAGTTTGAGAATAATCAAAATGTGATCTGGAAAAGCTTGAAGTCCTAGCACCTGTAGACAGACCAGGATGAGTATTTATTCCCTACAGTCTCTTCCTCTGGGGTCTGTCCTGTTTCTGATTGTCAATACCTCAAACAGTGGGGCTTCCATGTTCTTTATAGCTTGATCCAAAGTGGAACAGAGTTGTCGCTTTCTAAGGAAACTTTCCTGAAATTAACTAGCCCCCTTTTACTCAGTTCTCCTAGTTATACCCCATGCATACACAATCTCTAGTGTTTTCCACATGTCCTGCTCTAGATCAAACCTCTACCCCTTAGGAGTACGCTTATAGGTGGCTATGTTTTCTGTCGACCCTGGGTTTACCTCCTCACTGGTTTGTAATGTGAAGGCAGAGCTAAAGAAGGGAAAGAAAACTGGTGCAGGAATTCATAGCAGCAATAATTTTTTTGAAATGGAAATAGGCAGTGGATTAGGTACATCTTCATATACATCTCCTGACCAATCAAACTGGGCATTCATGAGCTTGTGTAACCCCGATCTTATTTTTTCTTTTCCCTTATTTGGATTTTTACGGTGCTGCAACACATGAGAACCCGTCCAACTCTCTCGGGGTCTCTGGCAATCTTTTATAAATACAGTATTAAGTAGACCATCAGTTACCTCAAATCCAGGAACCCAGTGACTGCATCAATATAACAAATTAGTTTAACTTCCTCCCACTTTTACCCTTCTCCTCCTCTCAGTTCTTCCTCCTATTATTAAACACACTTGTTGCACTTTTGTTCTACAATTAGATGGTTAGCTACTTGGGGCAGGTTCCTTGCCTTGCTGCAGGTGCAGTGCCCAGCACAATGGGGCCCTGGTCCTGAGTCAGGCCTCAGGCACAATACTGATGCTACACCAGTGATGATTTTAGGCCAGTTCTCATTTAATCTTTCCTCTTAAATCAACCCCTCTAGTCTTGCTGGAAGTGCCTTTTGTCTGAGAGTAGGGGTGCAGGGCCACAGGGGTGAGGAGGTGTGGCTGAATGGGCTGGCAGGGACACACTCAGACAGGGGCGGATGTGCCTGACTGAATGGGAGAGGCTAGGGGTCACCCAGGGTCTGCACAGGGGAGGCTCCCCAACTCTCTAACAGTCCTTCCCCCTCCCAAAAAATTGTTTCATACTTCTCCCACCCACACCCCACAAGCCTCCAGGTTCATTACAAACTACTTCCCTCTTCCTCAGCACCTCCATTATCCCTGAGTCTCCCAAGCCTTTGCACTACTTCCAAGGGGTGCGGGAAGTACATTTATGTATTGTAGTTTAAATTATTACTCAAAACTCTGTATAAATATGCTTAGTAAGGAATTAATTTGTCAAAAAACATTTCCTGAATCTTTTTTGTTGTCTGTATTGTTACAGACATACTTGCTGACAGGCATTTCGAAATAAATGACCAAAACAATTGAAACAGCCGTGATTATATTGTGTTATTTTGACAAATAAAATGTGCAGAATTTTAAAATATTGTGTACAGAATTTTTAGTTTTTTGGCACAGAATTCCCCAGGAGTAATAATAGCAACAAATGTGTAATAATTCCCAGACACAAATGACCAGATTAAGCTGGAGTGAAGGTTGAGTGCACACATCAATAATTTAGAGTGAAATATGTTCGAGGGATTTGCAATTATCCCCAAAATCAGTGTTATAAACCCAGGAAATCCACAATTAAGGTTATATTTAAAAGACCTGTTGAGGCATGGAAATACAGAGTTGGCAAATTAAACAACCTTAACACTGCCCTGTAATGACACCGTGCAAGAACCAGACAATTAAGGTATTTTAATGTTTGTAGTCCTAGCTTAGATTAATAGAGCATAAGTCTCAAAAGGACCATTAGGATCATCTAGTCTGCATTTCGATGTTCAGAATGACCCATTATGATAATCAAGGCCACGTAATAGCACCCAGAGATTCCAGCATCAAGCTCAGATTTGATAGCTAAGCTAACTGGAACTGAAGTTTAAAGACACTTTAGATTTTTTCCATCCCCCTTTTCCCCCCTTCAGCTTTAAGTTACATTGGGGTCAGCGACTGACACCCTGATTGCTCAGGCACAGTGGAAAGGGTGGGGTGGCAGAGGTTGAGCATGGGGGCGGGGAGGAAAGGGGGGAGAATCAAATCCTGAACATTTCAAGCTTTGATCAGCTAGTACTTTGACACAGACGCTGTGTGCTGGGAGAAGAATGTACCACTCAGATGCAGGCCCCTTCATGTTCTGAATGCATGATCTAGTTACATTAATGGGTGTGTTCTCTTAAAATCCTGAAATAGGAACACATTTGTGTACCATGTGGAAGCAGGCCATTGAATGATGCGGGGGAGTTTTGGAGTATGCAGCTGAGAGGAGTCTAGGGTTTGTTTGCCCTCATGGGGTGGGGAAAGGCGTGGGCGGTTCTTGCCCACTTGGAGATGTGTAACAGGCAAACGCGTAGTAAATACATGGACGTATAAGGGAGCTTTGCAGAGACTGGTTCGAAAGTTTATCTGCGGAGCTTTACCTCCCAACCTGGGTGGAGATGGGATGGGGGTAAGAGGCACCTTACATGATCTGAAGCTGACCGCCCCACAGCTCCATAGGCCTTCGCTCCGCCAGCCGCCCCACAAACTCCTTCACTCAGCTCCGCGGCCCACAAGTAGCTCCCGCAGTCCCACGACCTGCTCCACCAGCCTGTCCACAAACTGCTCCGCATCCCACCAGCAGCTCCCGCCGTCCTACGAACTGCTCCACCAGCCTGTCCACCAGGCACTCCAGCCATCCCGCAAACTGCTCCGCAATATATCTTCAGGCTCCCCCACTACTTAACACAACGCTCAGTGATTTCAGCTCTTAGGTGAATTCAGCTTGTAGTAGGGAAGCCTCAGTGCTGGTGCACTATTAGCCCAAAGTGAGCTCAGCACCTGTAACTAGACTTCTAATGAAATCAAAATTAGCTCTGATATTCTATAGTGGAGAGAAGAGGAAGTGCAATTAGCATGTAAGGCCCTCACCAAGTGTTAATACTTGTCCCCAGCCTCTTTCAATTCACAGAGTTTTGGAACCCATGACCCTTGCCTAGCGAGTGCCACTTAGTTGATGGTGAGTCCCTCCATCATAACAAAAGGCCAAGTACAGTTCCAAGCACAGTTCCCATAATCAGGGTAATAACAATTTATTCTTTCTGCCCCAATAACAGAGACACTGGGGATCCCACAGCAGCCAAAGTGACCATTTGGGCAACTATGGCCTCATTCTAGGCGGGGTGGGTGTGCCTATGCAAATGAGATCAGCCCCTGAAGTTCTTTTCCACAACTTGCCACACCTCACCACCAGATGTCAGGGTGGAGCTCATCCTGACACTGCTTACACCTATATGGTGAGAGCTCTGTGGGGGAGGGTCCCTCTTTGTTATAGGTGTGTGTACAATGCCTGGCACAGTGGGTCACCAGTCCCTCACTCAGTGGAGCTATCGGCAACTCACACCAGCTGGGGATCTGGCTCCATTGACGCCAGTGGAGTTCCGGCAGATTTGCACCAACTCAAATAGGGCAAAATACACAGTAATACCTCAGAGAAAATTACCGTCCTACTGACCTGTGTCATGACCTTCAATTCCTATTAGTGACAGAGGAGGTAGTGTATCACTTTTTGTCCCTGTCAAATCAGAAAATTAAACTATTTTTTCTAAGCTGATAGAAAATAGTAAAGCCCAGCAAACTCTCACAGTGTTTGATCTAGAAGGGAGTTGTACACCCAGGTCCACTTCTACTCTGGGGATGTCACAGTGAGTCCCAGCCAAACTGGATTTGTGTCCTGTATAACACTGGATATGAAATCCTGTGAAGTGTAAAGTAGAAGGGAATGGGTGAACATGCCATAACTTGCTAGAATTCCCTGCATACTCCCTTTGGGCTCTTGATCTTCAGTGGCTATCAGGAGAAACAGTCAGCACTTCTTCCCCTTGAACCTGAGCCAAAGCTACTTCCTTCCAAAGACAGGTCAATGCTGGAGGCAGAGGCACTCACTGGGAACTGGCCATTGGTGTTGGGCTTAGATGCCTGGGAGAAAGGATTGCCCGGTGTGGTGTTTGACCATCTCTGTTCCAGGACTGATGTTTATGTGTAAATATAGCAAGTAGTCCCAGACTCCATGTCGTTGACTTCTCCTGCACCGGAAATCACCCAACAAGGCCCTGGCATGCTGCTTCTGCTTGGCAGAGGAGCAGCAGTGGTGTTAGAAATAGGGGCAATGATATTACAACTGGCGACCCATTACCCCAGCTGAAGTTTATGTAAACCTTCCTTTTACTTTACCATCTCCTTTTTATCCTGAATCACCAGGAGGTGAGAACTCTTCACTGAGCAATCATCATGGCCCTTGTGCCAAACTCGACTCTCTTTAGATGCCCAGTAACATTTTCCCCCATGCATGAGCCATTCCGTGGGGCAGAGTCTGCACCTGGAGCCATCTGGAGTGGGGAATGAAGACAGAGATGTCTGTACAGAATCTTCATTTTCAACGTTCCATCGAGGCCGTTTTTCCTCTAGTTTTGTTTAAGGTCAGGCCCAGTATTCACATAGCAGGGAGCGCTGCAGCCCAGGGTGGAGGTGAATTGGTAAAGGTGTCAGCCAGCCCCCTGGTACTGGATAATGCCAGATCATGCGTGGAACTGTGTGGGGATCTGGTGCTTTTATCTGAAGGTGGAAATCATTAGATCGTGGATGTATTTAAATCAAAGTTATGGACTGTCGGTGAACGCAATCTCCCCCGTCCACCCAAAGATCATGCAAAATAGGAAACTAAAGCTGTCCAGCAAAAAGCTTGCCATTCCCATTGGCCTTCTTCTGATGCATCTTAAAGGTTGGTGGTGGGGAAGCCTGCTGGAAAGTGATGATCTGCTGGTGTGCAAGAAACACCCTGAGAATTGAGGGTTGTGTGGAGATACATATACATTTATTCATGCATGTTCCTGGATAACTGCACCCATAAAATCAGGAGAAAAGGCAGCACTGGCCTAGTTTGGACCTCTGTCCAAGCAGAGGTCTTGGGAATCGGGCAATGTTGATTCTAATCCCAGCTTTGACACTGACCCATTGCTTAACCTTGGACAAGTCGCTTCATCGTGTGTGCCTCAGTTTCCCCTGCAGTGAAAATGGGATAATGACCTCCAGGGGTTGGGAAGCTGAATCTATTGAGACCGTAAAGCCCTTTGTGATGCTCCGATGGAAGGGGATCTAAATGCTAAACATTAATAAAGATCACATTTTTTGCCTGCGCATGACTTACACTTATTTCTTAAACAATTCTTTTCTGGCACAGCAAAGCCACATTTCTCATTGCGGGCTCTTTACAGACCCTCTCATCTCACATCTTTCGGATGAGTTACGGGAAGGCCGTTCTTTGGGAAATAAAGAAAAACTAGTTTCATGGAGTTCAACTCTTCTCAAACTCACTTGTTAGAAAAATATCTTGTTTCTGGGCTCTCAGCTGCTGCCATTCCAAACACAGCAATAGGGCTTGGGGCACTGAAAATTAGCACCTCTGTGTTTTGATCTCATCAGCTCTTCCTGTCTTTCAGAGGGTGGAATCAAAACAAGCTTATTAAATCTTGTTGCCTCTTTTGATGTTGCTGTACCAGTTTGGGTAGCTACATTTTCCCCTTCCCTTAATTCCCCCCTGAAACTTCAGTTGGACATTTCTGCCCCTTAGCTATTGTGTACAGTGTTGCTGTGTGCTGCTAAAGAGCCAGAAGGTTTCTCCCCAGAGATGGCTGCATATTGTTGCCAGATGTTTTATGGTAGAGAGATAGCTAAGCCATCGGGCAATCTTTTTCCCCTGCAGGGCACTGGTGTGTATAAGATGGGATATAGGAAAGAGATTAGGGGATCTCTTAACTCAGGGGTCTCAGATGTGTGGCCTGAGGAGTTATTTCCTGTGGTCCACCATAGCTCCCCTCACCCCCGCCTGCTGCCTTCACCCCCCTGATCGCGCCACATCCCTGCTCCTCCGCCAGTGCTTCCTGCCACCAAACAGCTGTTTGGCAGCGCTTAGGACTTTCCAGGATGGAGTGGGGAGGAGCGGGGATGCGGCATGCTCAGGGGAGGAGGTGGAGAAGAGGCGGGGCCGGGGCAGGGATTTGGGGAAAGGGTTGGAATAGGGGTAGGGAGGGGATGGAGTTGGGGTGGGGACTTTGGGGAAGGAGTTGGAATGGGGGCGGGGAAGGGGTGGGAAGAGGCCGGGCAGAGGCGCGGCCTCATGGAAGGGGTGGCGTGGAGGCGGGGCTGAGGGTGGGGGGCTTTTGTATCTTTGTATGAAAAGGTGTCAGTGGTGTGGCCCTCCTGGTGATTTGAGTTTGAGATCCCTGTCTTAACCCATGGAATGCAAGATTCATAAGCAATAGGATATTTACTGCACATATTGAAGTTACCAGTTCTGTGCACCCTGAATTACAAATTCACCACTAGATATCACTGCAGTGCAGAA